CTGCTGCCATGTTTCTGTTGCCTAGGATGGCTTTTGCTATTCTAGGTCTCTTATAGTTCCAAATGAATTTTTGGATTCTTTTTTCTAGTTCTGTGAAATATAGTGTTGGAATTTCAATTGGCATTGCGTTGAATCTGTATAGCAGTTTTAGTAGTATGGCCATTTTCACCATGTTGATTCTTCTTACCCAGGTGCAGGGGATATCTTTCCATTTTCTTACATCCTCTTTGATCTCTTTGAAAAAAGAGTGCTGTAGTTTTCAGAGTAGAGGTCTTTTGTTTCTTTTGTTAGATTGATTCCTAGATACTTCATGTTTTTGGATGCTATTGTGAAAGGAATTGTTTCCCTAATTTCTCTCTGTGAGTCTGTTATTTGTGTACAAGAAGGATAGCCAGTTCTTTACTGCTTTCCCCAAGTAGGTATTCTGTCAGGATCTCAAATTTGCTTGATTCTTTACTGATCTTCTTTTCTCCATTAAGTCTTCTTCCTTTTCTGGGTTTTAGTGTTGTGATGTTGGGGCTAATCCCCGGCTGCTTTGGCTCACATTCCTTATCATGTTCGGCTTCTGGTTCCTCCTGTACTCTGTTGTCAGATCCTGGCGTGGTCTGCAGTTGACTGCTGTCATTAGAGATTTCGGCAAAGCATTTATTTCTGCATTTGCACTTTCGGTTGCCTTAAACCAGGCTTTTGTTCTGTCACACAGGGACTATTTCATTGTCCTCTAATTGGTCTTTCTCATAAGCCTCAATGTAAAAATTGACTTGCAGAAAACAACTGTCTATAAATAATAATGGGATACAACATCTTGGTTCCTTGAAGTACAGCCTCAACTCCCCATTGCCCACAAAATATCACTGAAATACTTTACATGCAGAGTATTTCTCTCTCTTTTTGTTTTTGCCCAGGTCTTCTTTTTAGTGTTTTTTATTAGCACATGTTTGTAGTACTTAATGATTCCATTCATTGTGGGAGTTGATACATGTACATAACACTTCTTAATTCTCTTTTTATGCCCTTTGCCTCCTCTCCCTCCTTTCATCTCTCAAGTAGTTGTTCTTTATGCAGATCTTCTCTACTCACTACCCTTTAAATATTTTTTTCTCCAAGATCTTTCTTAAAAATCCTATCTTCTTTAAAGCCTTTTTGAAATTCTTTTAATCAGAAATAATTTCTTACTCCACTACAATGACATTGTATCTTGCTTTCTTTTCTACAAAAGTGTTTATAACTCAGTATAGCCCTAATAGTTATAAGACACAATTGTAAGGCAGACTTTGGTATTTTATCCTTTACATGGAAATCCTTGAGGCAGTCAATAAATCACAGTTACATTTAGGTGAGTTCTGTTTTGTTTAGGTTTTGCCGGTTGAGCAGTAATTCTCCTTGTGAGAATTAGTGTGGCGTGGTGTGTGCTAACCCTGTAGTCAGCCCTGAGACAAAGTATATGTAATCAAATTAGTAGGCTACAAGACATGGACATTGAGCCATGATAACAGAGATAACTATTTTTGGGTCATTTTCTCCCTGTGGTTGTCTCACATGCTTAATTGCAAAAAGTGAAGATTTATCAATATTTTTGGTCTCTTGACTAACTTTCCAGTTTCAGCTTTTATATATAGGGAAATAATCATTCCTGCTTTGTAATCACTGCATACTTTTTTCCTTATAAGGGAATTTAGAAGGTACATATGTGTTCACAGTGTGTGGCTTACATTTATCTGGTTTTCTATTTCTTTCTTTTTAGAATAAATCAATATTCTTACATTACTTGGTAGAAGATAACTATTGGACTGTTTACCAGATGCTTTCTCCTTGCCTTAAAAACTTGAATGCTGACAGATGCTACACTTTTGTGTAGTTGAGAATAGGGCCTTCTTTTTTTTGTTTTCGGGTCACTGATTATTGAACCTACAGCCTTTTCCCTGAGCTACATCCCCAGCACATTTAAAAAAATTTTATTTTAAGACAGGGTCTTGCTAAATTGCCAAGTTGCCCAAGCAGAGCTTGAATTTGTAATCCTCCTGCTTCAGCCTCCCAGAGTGCTGGGTTTACAGGTATGTGCCGCCATGAAGGACTAGGACGTTCTTTTGGGAATGACAGTAAAATGTGTTGTTGCTTTTGGGGAAAAGTTATCTTTCTAGACTAAAAGCAGGGCAGACCCACTCTTTATTTAAGAATCTAAACTCAAAGTCAGTCAGTGTTTCCTCTCTATCTAGGGAGTGACTTCTGGAAAATCACCCAACTACTTCTGAGTGACAGCTGCCTCTGTTTTGAAATTAGATTGTTGTGTGTGTGTTGTGTGGTACTGGAGACTGAACATAGGTTCTGTGCATGCTAAACCAGCATTCTACCACTAATTTACACCCCCAGTCCTGTGAATTTTTTCCCCCCAGAACCAGGGATTGAAATCAGGACCTTGTGCTTGCCAGGTGTGGTGCAGCACCCCTGAGCTAAATCCCCAGCCATCCAATCCTGTGAAATTAGATGTTAAGATGAAATATGCTGATGGGTGTTAAGAATTGAAAGCATGGTGCCTGTTACCTAGCAGACAATCAAATGGTAGCATTGTCATTGTAACATATATAATAATAATTAATAATTAATAATAATAATGTGATCTTAAAAGAGCCAGGAAAAAATGACTGATTCTCTATTTATTTTTGAATTACCCATGAAAGTGGCTTGTTCATTATAGTTAGCTACATGATAGTACAGGATTTGATCACAGTAGAAATAAGGATCACTTATGCATAAATTATTTTATGAAATTATTGAAAAAGGAAACTATTGATTATAGTCAGTATTATTGCTAACTGGCAATATGTGAATGCAATTTTTCATTAGTATTAGTAGCTTATTGAAAAAATATAGGAAAATATCTGCCTTTGCAAGTTTTGCAATCAGACAAATCAAATGAAAACAATGTAGTTAGGCAAGAAGGGAATACACACTTCTGGTAAAACTAGATCCAAGTTTAACACCTCTAACACAGACATTTTCATTGATTGTTTTATTATATGTACCAGCTCTCAGTTGCCAACGCTGACGTGTGGTATTCTTTGTGAGGTTATTGGTGACATTATCCACAAGACAAAAGCAGTGATACTAAGCTAAAGTCAGTCAGACACAACACTGACATCGAGCAGGTCATCAGGCTGCTGTCTAAGGATAGGCCCAAGTATTGTTAGGTAAATAGAACTAACACTCTATTACCTGTCCCAGCTGAGTGCGGCACCCATTTATCCTTGAGGTAGCTTGCTATTTCCAGGCTGCTATGGTTTCCATTGTTGTGTGATAGACACCAATCACATAATGTTTAAACACTGAATGTTTATAGCTGCCCCTTGAATGGTGATGGCGAGCTATGACAAATGGCGCCTGCTAAACTGTGATTTTACTATCAGAGTAGCCTTGGGTATAAAGTTTTTGACTGAATGATGAATGAAGCCCCCAGCCAGCCTTCACCAGTGTCTTGTACAACTTGGGAAATAGAAGATGATTGTGTAGAGAAGGAACAGAAAAAAAGAGGCCTTGAGCAGCAGAGTATGCATGTGAAAAATCTTCCTGATAACAATCTTAATTAAAAAAGCCATCTTAGAATTTTGGAGTTTGTAAAGAAGAACAAGATCAGAGGAAAAAATGAAATTTTAAGAAATGCCAACTTTTTAAAGTGTATAATTTATAGTATTCCAAAATGAATTTTCTGTAGACTCATAGTTACCAACTATACTGAAAATTTTTATTTTAGGATGGTATGATAATAATGTTACACACCCAGTATGGGACCAGATATGTAACTGTATCACAGTTTACATGGATAGGCTATTTGATTGTTTAGTACCGTACATGAAAACTGCCTTCATAGAATTACAATGTATGTGCTTGAGTTATGATCGCCACCCATACAGGAAATAGAATAGTTAGTGGTTTACCTATAAGAGGTGGGTGTGCCAACTACTTTAGTGAAGTGGAAGAAAACTTTTAGGTGAGTCGGATTACTCAGTCCAGGTCAGAATTTCTTTTTCATGTCGTCACCATTTTAGCTTTCTTTGTTTAACAGAGTAAAGGTAGAATATCTTCAGTGAAATTTTTATTTCTGTGGATTTTTTTTATTTCTAAAAAAAGTTAAAGTGTAATTTTTCACTTGATCTTAGCCAAAAGGCCGAGAAGGGATAAAGAGTAATTTTAAGTACTCAATAAATTTAAAATATTTAACCAGCCCAGTAGTGGAAAACAAGAGAGACAAAAGGAGATAACACAACATAGAACTTCAGAAATACACAGTGAGCAATGAAAGAGGACTTGATCAGGAGGTTGTCCTCATTAAATTGTGTCACGAAACTCTGGCTAGAAGAAAAGTTTTGAAGTTCTTCAAAAGAATTCTAGTAGGTTAAGTTTATTAATTTGTGAAAGATCAAAGCATGGTATCCGCTGACTTTCTGTCTGTAATGTGTAAGACTGAGTGATAGAAATGTGTGTTGGCTTTAGCTCTAGTGAGACCTTCATTAAGAAGGGAAAGCTCAAGAAGAGAGTTGTGCCACAGTTTGAGTTAGACACAGGACAGAGAACCTGAGACAGGCCTGAGGTTTATTGTTATGTTGAGTGACCCAACACTTCTGCTAATTCTCCTTCTGGAAGGGATTAGCTGTTAAACAAATTGGCAAATACAACATGCAGTTCTGTCAAATACACAGTGACATTTCTTTCTGCAGTTTCTTTTGACGTTATACTGTTTGAATATCTTCAGTTGTCTCTTAATTTGCTTTTCTTTCTTTAGTTCCTGTTGGATCTGAATGTGACTTTTACATAATTAATTCCCTTGTCTAGGTTTTTTTGGTTATTGCTTTTGAATGCTGGTATACAAGTTGGCATGCTAGTAACTTCCTTATTTTCTGTTTCCTTTTCTAGTTTAACATAGTTTCATAATCCACACAATGTCTTTTTATTATTTGGATTGTTATGCAATAAAAATCCCAATTAACTTTTTATTTCCTTTGTAGTTTAAGAAATGGCATTTCACAAGGCGGTGAAAGGAACTGTTCTTGTTGGAGGAGGTGCTCTTGCCACTGTTTTAGGACTCTCTCAGTTTGCTCATTACAGAAGGAAGCAAGTAAGTAACTGCATGTATTGATTACAATACGTGACTTAAAGCTGCTGAAGTGCTGTATATGAGGTGCATATACATTATTGGGTTTTTCTTTTTGAAATGCAGTCAAAGTTTCTCAGTTTGATTTGAAAGATACTAATTTAGAATACTGCCTTATGATATACTGAAATACTGAGAATTGTATCTCATTTTTTAAAATGTGAATTTATTTTTTTCAGAGATCATTATTTAACCTCACTTGTGTCTCTTTGGTTTTTAAAAGACTGCTTCATTTACTACTGCCAGGGTTTGTTCATTTAGACCTTCCTTATTTATTGCACTGTTTGGCTACCTTCTATGTCCTTGCCAAGTTCTTATTAGAAGACAAGCAGCCAAGAAAGGAAGTAGAAAAGAAAAGGCCTAACTCTGAATCTTGATTTTATTTCTTAAAAGTTTAATTACTTATATAGTGTTATATTTTTAAAATAAATTTTATTTTATCCCATTTCTGCCCTCAAAGTATTACATTTTATTAGATAAGCATTTGGGGGAAATCATGACAATGAGACAGTATGAAATTTCCAAATAGTTTAAAGTTTTCAGGTTTTTAAAATTCTGTTTAACTTTTTTCCCTTTCCATTAAACTGTGCTCTCCTTTAAACTGATACCAGGAAATAATTTTGTTAAAAGATTTTTTTTTCTTTTCGAGTACCAGGCAATCCATGTTGAAATGTTGGTAGCTACCCACCTCAGTTGTTAGTGTTAGTCTCCCTTTTCCATTACTTCGTGTCTGAAGGCATTTTGTGATGCTAGCTGAGTGGAGCATTCCTGTTTCAAAGATAAAGGTGAAGGAATTTGGTAAGCTGTTTGTAATTGGGTGAGCTACAAGCTACTGATTTTCTACATTTTTTAAGGGTATCTTTAAGCTATGGATTGTCTGGTACTTGTTTTTCCTCTTTCCTTGCGCTACCACATGGTAGAACCAGGCACATGGGTGGAAAGTTCTTATCCTAAATAGGAAAGCACAAGTGCTGGTTACAGTTAAAAAACAGCAGCTAGTTTTTATGTGGTTCCTCTTAAAGATAGGTGATATTGAAGATACTGTGTTCATCCTTTTTTTTCATTCTGAGCTATGAGCACATTCCCCTTAAGGTTTCCTCCAGTGTTTGTTGCTGGTATGATTGAGTGACTTGCTGTAAAACTCTTCCTCATCTATTGATCGTTTTGGTGCTCTATTTCTTTTAAACAGTTGCTTTGGTTCCTTAAAAGTAACTGAAAAGATGTTGCTTCTGCTGAGGTTATTTCAGAAGTTCATTAAGGGATTAAGGGCATTAAGGGCATTAAGGGATTAGATTACTTCTGCCATCTTTACCAGTGTTATCTGAAACCATACTGGAAAATGCCAGTGCCAAAGGTCACAGTATCTAATAGTTGTTGCTAAATTTGTTTGTGGCTTGTGTCTTTTAACCATGGTAAGCATGTTCTATTACAAAGTTTATGGCTTACCTTTAAAGTATATAATACTGTTCCATCTGTTTTTGTTTTGCTTTGTTTTTCTTTGATTATTGATCTCATAGAATGGAATAAACATATATATTTTTTGTTTGGAAGTTAGGGTTGGATTTTAAAAGGCAAAACAAGAGCTTATTGATTCCTGTAGCATTTTTTCATTTTATCTTTTCTAAGTTAGACATCCTGACTACCTAATAGCCAAATTAAGTGGATACTAGTAGCTTTAAGTCATTTATAATTTTAAGCTGACAAGTCAGTTGACAAAAACCAAGATAGGTTTATTCAGTTGAGTTGTGTCAGAAACCCAACTTTGTGTATCTTTGGAGGGGATGTAGATTTGGGGGGAATAGCGGGTGCAGTATAGCCATAGGGATTAGCACAAACAAACAAACAAAGAAAAAGCAAGAAAAAAGAAAAAAAATAGTACCAGAGAAACAACAGTTTATTTTAGATGTTGACATAAAATGACCACAAGCCTCCTTTAGCTCAGCTGTCTTCTTTCAGAAAGTACCTTTCAGTCAGATCCATTCAAGGAGGAAGATTTTTCCTGACTTTAATGGTCAAGAGAATAAAGTGGACTACATTTTTGTAGAAGCTGGGGCCTTAAATGAGACTTTTTCTGCAGAATAATATATAAAGCGTTGGATTATTGTTCAGATGTAATTATCTCTTGTGTAGTTTTTTTTTTTTTTTTTGGTACTGGGGATTGAACTCTGGTTCTTGCACTTGCAAAGCAGACAGCGGAACCATGAGCTAAATCCCTCGGCCCTCCTGTGTTTTTAATGTTTATTATAATTTTCTAATTTTTTTTTTGAGGTAATGCATTTTTAAATTAAATTTATTGGTACATTTTAGATATACAGTATAATGACATTCATCCATGTGAATTTGCACCTTTATGTAATCTTTGTTCTTATTTTTTCCCATTCCCCTGCCCTCCCTTCAACTCCTCCACCCCTCCTTATTTACATAGACTTTTTTCATTTTTTTCCATTTTCTCATATAAATTCTATTCCCTTCTTTCCTTTTCCCTACACCTCCCACTTTCGCTTCCCCTTATCTCTTTTCCTATTTCACATTATGTATTATACCTTTTAGTCCTTATTTACAATTCTAATTTCTCACACCAGAGAAATGATTTAGTATTTACACATGTGTGTCCTGTTTATTTCACTTGAGTATCATCTCAGTGTGCATCTATTTAGCTATAAATGTCTCTAATTTCTCATTCTTTATGGATGAGTAGTACCCCATTTTATAAAAAACAAGAAACAAAAAACACATTGTCTTTACCAGTCTCCAGTTGATGGGCACTTGCGCCGTTTCCAAGTTTTAACTATTACAAACTGTGTCACTATGAACATGGGTGCACATGTATCACTGTGGTATAATTCCCTTAATTCTTTTGGAAAGATACCCAGCAGCAGAATAGCTGTGTCAAATGGGACTGCCAATCTTTGAGGTATCTCCATACTGATTTCCACAGTAGTTGGACCTAAAAAATATAAATAGCCCAATATCAATTAACAGAATTGAAAATGTAATTAAAAACTTACCAACTAAGAAAAGCCTGGACCTTAATTAGGCTTCACTGCTGAATTCTACAAGACATTTAGAGAGGAACTATTGCCACTACTGTTTGAACTCTTCAGTGAAATTTAAAGGGAAGCAATACTCCCAGATTCATCCCTGGAAGCAAGCATCACCTTGATCCCCAAAACAGAGAAAGACCCAATCAAAAAAGAGAACTATAGGCCAATCTCACTTATGAACATAGATGCAAAATCCTTAATTAGATAATGGCAAAGAGAATGCAGAAGATCATCAAGAAGATCATATACCCTGACAAATTGGATTCATCCCAGGGATACAGGGATAGTTCAATAAATCAATAAATTTGTAATGTACTATATTGATAGAGCCAAGGACAAAAACCATATGATAATCTCAGTAGATGCAGAAAAAGCATTCAACAAAATCCAACACACATTTATTATGATAAAAACACTACAAAAACTTTAGATGGTCTCTGCCTGAGTCTGATAAAAGCAATTTATGAAAAACCAACAGCTGATATCATACAAAATGGTCAAAAACTGAATTCCTTCACACTAAAATAAGGAACAAGACAAGGATGTCCACTTTTACCACTCCTTTTCAATATAGTTTTGGAAATAGCCACAGCAATTAGGCAAGAGAAAAAAAAGGAATAGAGGTAGGAAATGAAGTCAAATTGTCGTTACTTGAAGATGACATGATACTCTATATAGCAGACCCCAAGAACACCACCGAAAGTCTTCTAGACTTAATTTCTGAATTCAGTAAAGTAACTGGACACAAGGTCAACACAAAAATCAGTAGCCTTCCTGCACATGAAAAACAAACTAAGAGAGAAATTGGGCAATCATTCCTTTCACAATAGCATCCAAAAAATTGAAATAACTAGGAATCAGCCTAACAAAAGAAATCAAAGATCTCTACTCTGAAAACTATAGCACTCTGAGAAAAGAGATTGAAGAGGATATCAGAAAATGGAAAGACATCCCTTGCTTCTGGGTAGGAAGAATCAACATAGTGAAAATGGCCATACTTCCAAAACTGCAGTCCCCAATTGAAATACCAGCAGCATACTTCATAGACCTTGAGAAAACAATCCAAAAATTCATTTGGAACAAGAAGAGACCTAGAATAGCAACAGCAATTCTATGCAATTAAGACAAAGTAGAGGATATCATAATCCCCAACTTGAAACTATACTACAAGGCTATTGTGATAAAACAGTATGGTACCGGCAAAGAAACAGACCTGAGTACCAATGGAAAAGATTAGAAGATGCAGAAACAACTCCAGAGAGGAACTTCATCTTTGACAGAGGAGTCAAACACCCTCTACTGGAAAAAAGCTTCTTTACTAAATGGTGCTGGAAAAACTGGGTTTCAACTTGACAAAGTTTAAAACTAGACCTCTATCTCTCACTAAAATTGAAATGGATGAAAGACCTAAGATGCTTCTAACTGATAAGTTGGCTCCTTTTAAGAATAATTTGGAGGACTGGGGATGGAACTCAGTTGTTGAGTGTTTCCCTAGCATGCGCAAAGTCCTGGCTTCCATCCCAATACTTAAAAAAAAAAATAAAGTTAATGTTGAAATCCCAAGACACTAATGTTTTAGACAATGCCTGTAGACTTTTTTCTGGCACATTTTACTGCATTCTTGCTCTGTCTCCCTGGTCCCTGACTTGTGCACATTTGTTATTCATTGTCCATTCAAAAATATCTTCTTAAAATATGAGCAGGCACTGCATTCTAAATTCAAATGCAGGGATTCTGAAAGTTAGTAAATTGTTTTTCTGTGATTTTTTTTTTTTTTCTGAGACAGGTTCTTGTTCTGTAGTTCATGCTGGCTTTGAACTTGCAGAGATCCTCCTGTTTTTCTTTTGGAGTTGGGTCAGCCTGAATCTTCAGCTCCACTGAGGAGGCTGATGAGGGAAAAGAGATGAAAGTTGGCTGATT